GGGTGAAGCGCCGCGAGCCAGACTCAGAGACAACACTTACAATTTTCCGATCGTAGAAAGCTCCGCTGCTGTAGGTGGTAGCGAGGGTTGAAGCGCATTCCTCCAGGTACCAGGGCCTTTGACCGTTCTCAGTCGTGCTGCTGATGGAGATGGTGTAGATGCTATTAGTGTAACCATCGCAAGAGCAGTAATCTCCTTCTCTGCCACCGTTTCCTGATGCCCAGATGAAAATGGAGCCCAGTCCTTTACGGCCCTGAATATTCAACCAAAACAAAACACAAAAAAACCCATAAGGAAACAAGCCTGGCCCAAAATAACTCTTACAGTACCACTACACCATTACAATAGCCGTTACAATAACTCCACCCCGTACCGAGGGACATATGAGCGCAAGGGACCTGTTGGGTTATCGAGCCCCATTCCCTGCTATCACAAGCAACTGCTGCGCATAATCCTCTCCACAGACACCTCCCTTGGCTCTTGGACCCACAGCACTCCCAGCTCCCCTCCCAGTGAACCCCCTTTAAAAAACAAGCTGCCATTTCAAAAGCCCCTGTCTGCCCGTGGTGCATATCTACACGCCTGTTGTTTAAAGCCACCGCCAGTCTCAAAGGCAATTACTGCTCAATAGGACGGAGATGCAGAAGAGCCTTGGAGGAACAGGCTTTATGGCTCTCTTTCAAGTTTTCAAAGGGAAAAAAAATCTCAATGTTAATTATGTTTCCTCCCTCAGCAAGGCTAAAAACGGAGGCACGCAGACGTCCTCTACAGGGACCGTTCCTAGCCACATGGCAATGGGGCGGAAATGCCGAGCCAGCTGCAGCTGCCCCTTCACGCGGCACGGCAGGCAGCAGTCCTGCGAGAGTGACCTTGTCCTGATGGACACATCTGTCCCAGAGGGATGAAAAGAAAGGGCTCGTGAAGAGTCTGCCTCCCTTCCTTGTAGCTCAGTAACTCTAACTGGGGGGCAACTACACGTGCTAATTAGCTCCCCAGTAAAGTGTCACTATCTATACGTGTGGTGCTATTAGGCCAGAGTAAGCTAATTAACTCCGCCCGACGGCTGTGCTGCCCAACACAAGTACCATCCTATGGTGGAGTTATTTACTCCCCTGCAACACACGTGTAGATGGTGACCAGGGCTGGCTGGACTTGAGGGTGCTTCAGTGCGGGGGCTGCCCGCGCTGTAGCACCCTCGTGCCCCAGCCAGCCCCTATGCACCATGTTGAGCTGGGGCAGAGGCGCTTTGGGCTGGCCAGCTGGCCCCCAGACCCCCTGCCCGGCGGGGCTGCACCACCCTGGCTCAACGTGCTGCAGTCCCAACTGCATTTGTAAACACTGCACCTGGGAGCAATAAACTCCGGTGCAAACTGTACCGGAGTTTATTGTGTTGCATTAATAACACAGGTACACTTGCCCACTCTAGGGGAAAAAAATCCCACTGAACTAGAAGATGCCCAAAACATCTCGTAACATTTGATATCTTTTCTATATCAAAAAGGTGGCCTGGTACTGTCTCTTTATACCAGTCTTTCCCCCCACTTTAGGTTGGAACTGGTACTTAGTGAAGCAGCCAGGGTTTGGCACCACACATCCAACACCCAGCAGAGTCTCAGCGTAGCTCAGATTTTGATTCTGCTGAGTGAGAAAGCAGGGGTCAGAGCACAATAAGGGTCTTTACAGCCCAAAGACCTCTCATGAGTCAAAACACAGCAGAGAGGGGAGATCCAAACTCTACCAAGATCCCTCCATCCTCACCAGCGGGGGAAATCCCACTAGGGTCCTGCTTAGACACAGAAGCGATGGGACAAAGGGGGCTCCTTGTCTGGTCTTTCCATGGGACACATTTAGATGGTAATGCCACTCCCGCATGGGACCTGGGCTGCAGCCTGCTCTCATTTAGTTCAGCACAGAGATCAGGAATACCACCACGCAAGTCACGGTCATGCGGGCATTGATAATCACACCACAAGAGCAGAGAGCATCAGGACCTATGTTTTGACACCAAAAAAGCAACTGTCTCACCTCCCACTCCTAGCCATAGCAAAAAGGGAACAATTTCCAAGAACCTGAGGGGATGCAAGGGGGAGGGACACTGGTGACAAAGGTCACACAGCACCAAAAAAAGTGCTATATAAGACATGACCGGGAGCCAGTCAAACTTTAGCAAGCCTGTGTTTCTCTCCTAGAGACAGCTTCTTGAATGGTGAGGTTTGGGGTGTGGTGGAGGGGGGGTGAGAAGATGACAGGAGAAGGGATGGAGGAAGGGACATTATTAAACCACCTGACTCGTGCTTTTGGGCCTGGCAGGTGGGTCAATGTACTCCCTATATGTATCTCACACAATCTGTAGGTCAATATAGCCTTTCGCCACTGGCCTGTAGGTAGATAAGTGTTCATAGATTCATAGATGCAAGGGTCGGAAGGGACCACAGCAGATCATCGAGTCTGACCCCCTGCCCGGGGCAGGAAATAGTGCTGGGGTCAGATGGCCCCGGCCAGGTGCCTATCCAGTCTCCTGCCCCTTCTTAAAGACCCTCAAGGCAGGGGAGAGCACCCTCTCCCTTGGACGCCCATTCCAGATTCTGGCAACCCTTACTGTGAAGAAGCTCTTCCTGATGTCTAACCTGAAACTGCTCTCCATTAGTTTGTGGTCATTGTTCCTAGTTACTCCAAGGGTGCCCTGGTAAACAGAGTATCTCCTATTCCCTGCTGTCCTCCCCCGACAATGAATTTGTAAGCGGCCACAAGATCCCCTCTCAGTCTTCTCTTGCGGAGGCTGAAGAGATCCAGGGCCCTCAATCTCTCCTTGTAGGGCTTTGCTTACAGGCCCCTAACCATACAAGCAGCCTTCTCTGGACCCTCTCAAGGTTGTCCACATCCCTCTTGAAGTGCGGCGCCCAAAACTGGACGCAGTACTCCAACTGCAGCCTGACCAGTGCCGCATAGAGGGGAAGCATCACCTCCCTGGACCAGTTTGTCATGCATCTGCTAATGCACGATAAAGTGTGGTTAGCTTTACTGATCGCTTCGTCACATTGACAACTCGTGTTCATCTTGATGTCAACAATGACTCCAAGACCCCTTTCCACTGCTGTGCTGCTGAGAAGGTCGTCCCCCAGCCTGTCAGTGTGTTGGGGACTCCTTCTCCCCAGGTGCAGCACTTTGCACTTGTCCTTGTTGAACTGCATCCTATTCTGTTCTGCCCACTTTTCCAACCTGTCCAGATCCTCCTGGATTCATTCCCTACCCTCTAGTGTGTTAACTTTACACCATCATTTGGTATCATCAGCAAATCTGGACACAGTGCTTTCCACGCCCTCATCCAAGTCACTGATGAATAGCACCGGTCCAAGGACTGAGCCTTGCGGGGCTCCACTGCCCACATCTTTCCAGGTCGATACCGACCCGTCTACCACCGCTCTCTGGGTGCGACCCCTCAGCCAATCTGCCACCCACCAGACTGTTTAATCATCTACATCACAGCCTCTCTTTTTATCTGTGAGAATAGGATGAGATACCGTATTGAAGGCTTTCAGGCGCAGGTGGAGGATGAGAAATCCTGGTGGAGAATGACAACTCCAGCAAAATATCAGGCAGGTGGAAAAGCCAGAGCAGGTCTTACTGGCACTACAGGACGCCTTGGAAACACATGCCCTTTTAAGTAAGCTGCTCCTTCACCTGAAACGCGCTTTGCTTTTCTAGTCCACCAACTACAACTAACCTACAAGGAGACTCTGGCTTGGTCCCACTTAGCCTGCTAGAAACTCAATCCAAAAAGATAATGAAGGGGCTAAAGGAAAGTAGCTGCCAAGGGGTGGGGAGGTGAGGGGAAAGCCACACAATTTTCCAAGGGGAGGAAGCTGGCATGTGCCCAAGGAGATATTTTGGAAAGACGGGTCTGGGGTTTATGGGCAGGGCAAGACTTTTCAACTTCTCCCTCCCCAAGGAATCAACTGAAAGGATGGGGGGTATTTCTTAATACTTCCCCTGAGAGCTGGAGGCAGAGGGATGGTTTATGACCTGTCTGGCTGCACTGCTGGGCTGATGATCTCTGTTTACCCTGCCTCTGGATACCGGGGGTAAGCTGGGCTGCTTCCCTCGCTTTGTAAAGGGTTTCATTATCTGGTCTGCCTCACAGCCAAATAAAGAGGACACTTCCAAAGGAGAGATTAATAGAGCTGTCTGGAGCTGTGCAGGGAAAAAAGGATGACTCAATAGCCAAATCATTCGACTCTCGTCTGCTCCTGAATAAGTCTATCTACTTTTCCGATGGGTTGACTACTTGGCCAACTACTACCAGAACTTCAATGAGCCGCTTCCTAGTACAGCGTTGCAGCCTCTCTAGGGTTTCCTGGATCTCTTAGCCGTCAACATCCTAATCCATGTTTTTGGCCGAGCGATCAGTTCATGTGGGCTGGCTCTGTCTCAGCAAGCCCCTGTAGAGTTTCTATACAAAAACAGATGTGGCTTTGCAGGTTTGGTAGTGTAAAGTTTGGCACGCTGATACGCTTTAGAGCTGCAGGTGGTGCAAAGAGGACATTGGAGGACTGCCTGCGAAGGTTAAGACTCACACATCTGCTCCGCAAGAAAGATGGTCTCTCCAGGATTTCTTTCAATGCCATTCAGCTGACCTAGGGAGCAGTCACAAGTTGCCAAGCATATCCAAAAGGAAGAGATCTAGCCGTGATCAGTGATCGATAACAATGCAGGGGATCCACAATTTGCCTCATGTACTTTGTGAGTTGCAGCGCCCGCGTTGGCACTTCCCAAGCTCAGGCGACAAGCCCAGTTTCGAAGGCTGGGCCCGAACAGCCGGCTCACACAAGACAGTACCAGACCCTGCGAGCAGCGCAGTCAGCTCCTCGATCTTCTGTCCAGGGCTCAGACTGTGTTGTGACACGCCCCGTACGCACGTCCGACTCCGGCGGCATTGCAACGAGTGCGGACCAGCTCTTTGACAGGCTTATATGGAGACAGTGATGGGCACACGCATAATTATTCCTCTCCTAGGGATTCATAAAGGAAAACTCCCTTCTCCTGCATTGTGTTAACGGGATGGAGAAGCAGCTATTTCTGGAGGATGTTTCCAGCCCCAAGCGAGGGAGAGACTAATAATGTAACTACTGTAGGTTGGCCCGGGAGCCAAGACATGGCTTCCATTAGCGCTCAAACACCAAACGGCCAAGATTTCTGCAGGGACGTTTAAAACGCTCAGGGTCTCCGCAGGAAAGCATTGCTCACTGGCAACTC